GGATGCGTCGGTAGGCGAACTGGAATGGGTCGAATGTTGAGTGGAGTCAGTGCGACAGGCCGGTAATGATTGAATGAGGTGACCTGAGGCTGCCTGGTGGCAGACTTGAAGCATGCTGGCACTACATATTGGTCCAGTGAGGTGTTAAAAATGTAAAAAATAAAAGGTTATCAGGCCCTGGGGCCTTCCTTGGGTTGACTCTCCTCAGAGTTTTCCTCACTTCAGCTACGACCAGGTTTAGTGCCTGCTCCCCCTGGTGTGGAACGGCTTTCACTGCCGGATTGCTGTTTAGTGCCTCAAACCTTCCAAAAAAGTTGTTCAGTTTATTTAGGAAGTCAGTGTTTTGCTGCATCTACCGCGGGGATGGGTGTGTTGTAGTCTGTGATCGTCTGAATGCCTTCCCGATACTAACTATATATATAAATAGCTAATAATATAATACATATTAATATAAATACCAATTTAATAGGCCCTGTGCAATCATCCTGTTAAATAGGAGACTTCAGGGAGAAAAAGTGTCTTCCACAACCGAGAGCCAAGTCAGAAAAATTCTATTATAAATTTCATTCCGATTAAAAGGTAAGTCATTGTACGTTTAGACACTGAAAAGATGTTTTAATCAGGTGGAATTAAGGTACCTTTTCAAAATATGTAAATTAATAAGTATTTAGAATCAAGACAAAACATGGAAGCAAGCTTTAAATAACATTTATTAATGTTAAATTAATGCTAGAATACAAATATTTTAATTTAAGGTCAGACATAGATAACACTGCCTAAAGGTCAAATCAATATAAGAGCTACTACCCGGTAATAAATTTCCCATTTATGAAAAAAGTGTAAGAAATCCGATGGGTTTTATTGGTAGTCATGCAACTCACCTAAGTTCCAGAACTTGCTAAGTGAGATTGTAGGAATCTTTTATATTGAAAATCTGACATGAGATATCTGAAAATGTACAAATGTCCCTGATGAATAGAAACATATCCTGGAGCATTTCAAACGGTGGTTAACTTTGCTTAAAGGAATCTATGCTTAATATGTCATTCAATCAAGCTGACATTCAGCTCTGATATTTCATTGAGACTCTTTTTTATGGGATTGATTTTGTTCTGTCCTGAGTTAATCCATTATAGTTTTTTTTATATAGCACACATTACATCATTAGCTTTTGCACCCCTACATTGTACTAAATCAGGCTTACAGGCCCTTTGCCATCACCAACATTCTCAGGGGCAAAACATCTTCCACCCATTCTCCATTTGAATGTAGCATCTTGTTCCACAGATTGACTTCGGTCGTTGTTGAATCCATCCATGCAACATCAACACCATAACTCTTTCCTGCAGAAAAAAAAAAAAAAACACGTCAGAGATCTAAAACTTCCCCATGATAGGTCTGATAGGGTTTAGGCAGGCTCAGAGAATCAGAACGCTGGATATCTACGGGCCAAAAGGTTTCAATAAACTAGCACTTTCAGCTAGTCAGGATGTAGCTTAAGCTGCACCATGTGGACTGAATTAGTAATCAGGCAGAGGGGAAATGAATTTCAACAGATTAGCTAATCGGACAGAATATTAACAAACATTGGCAATCTGTTTTGTTTTGTTTGTTTTTGATGTGTGTGTTTTGAATTTAAAACTTTGTGGTGGAAGCAACTGCTGCCTGGTGGGGCACATTTAGGGCAAAGGTGTGAATTGAGTTTAGATTAGGGTTAGGTATGAACCCATAATAGTTAGGAACTACTGTGAAACGACAGCCTAACTTTTGCATAACGACAGTGTAATGCCCATGGGCATTACAAAGCATCTGTAAAACTGCCCCCCTCAGGTGCAGGAGGCACCAAGAGGTACCCGGCCTGCATAGAAAGATGTCTGACCGCTGTATTAACCTAGCTGCTGTTCACCACCCGCCCAGAAAAAGAGGTTTGCAGTCGCAGCTGAATCAGCGTCATGTCTGATAGGACGTTTGTTGGTGGTGGGCGTGAACGCAGAGAGGATCCATCACCCTCACCTTCTGGCTCACCCTATGATGGGGATGAAGTCTGGAGGAGAACTGACGGTTTCCTCCTGTGAACCCCCTTTATACCAAAACGCTGCCAATACGCCATTATACAGTAGCTGGAAGTTAGAAACGAGTTCAGCGCTCGTCTGGAACACGTCAGATACGTTGATATGCGTTCCAGAGAAGTTCTTGATAAGTTACGCATAAGCTGGACACCACGACTTATGAGTAACTTACACTTAACGTTAGTCAGCAATATGATAACTTACCTGTAACTAATAGCCCATGTATGGCATACGCTGTCACACGTCGAGAAATTTTGAGTATGCAGTATGTCAACGTCTTTCAGCGTACTTTAGCGCAATCTTAACTTACACAAAATTGACCCATAACTTATCCAACGTATGGCGGAGTTTTTGCCAGATTGTTTGTACATCAGGCATACGCTGGTCTAAATCGTCAAGGTGTGACAGGGCCTTTAGGCTGTAGAAATGGTACAGTAAAAGTCAGGCATAAATTGTGCGAGTTTTTGCCTTTTCAAGCCGATTCTCCAATCTTGTGACAATTTCTTGGATTGGGCTGTGTTTCAGATTTATTGTGTGTTCTGTGTCGGGTAGTACATTGATTATTAGCAGGAGGTACTCGTACCCCTAGTGGTCCAACAATGAGTGCAAGGTGAACATAAAAATATTATTATAGGGGTACATTAAAATATTTTATTTCTCAGGTAATAAAGTAAAATAAGGCTGTAATCGGTTCTGCTTTGTGAGGACCCGACTATCAAAAAAGTATGTTTTTCTTATATGTTTCAGTTCATCTTGAGCTTTGACCCACATCCAAAGGAGGAGATACGTACAAGTTGCATAGATTTGGAAATGTGAACAACAACACAGAAAAATGGGATTTCACAAAAAAATCGGAATTGAGCACTAAGGCCCGCAGTGTGAGCTATGTGTGTTTATATCTTCTTCTAGAAACTGCAGAGAGATTACCTTACTTTTTTGTACAAGATAATTTTCCCCTTTCCTCACTATTTTCTGATTGATTCTTTCACAAATGACCTCTGTAAGACCTCCTATATGATACTGATGAATACAGCCTTTGTTCAAAATAATATTATGTTGTATGAATGTATTTATCTATTTATGTTTGAAAAAATAACTGGTCAATACATCTAATAAAGTTGTATTTTGCTGTTGTAAACCCTATGCATTCATGGCAAATAGTTATAATATTGATTAAAACTGTAATGTACACTTAAAGACTTTATGTATCAATATTTTATGGTAAAAATATATTCAATTAAAGATCTAATTGTTCAATCTTAAAACCACATGTAAAACAGGCAAGTTGTTGGAACAAGTGCAGTCAAATAAACAACATATAGTATTCTTTATTTTATGCAGATAACTGAATAAGAACAAGTGCTATAATGTGACCCAATCATAATTGGTGTCAGGATTTTTTACAACATAAAAAAAAAGTACAAACGCATTACACAACCTGTCCCAGGTCCAAGTCTCACACCACCTATGAAGTGGTTGTGAAGCCGATCGCGATCCCACACTGTGATTTCCACACAGGCCTGTCGAAGGTCCTCTGATTGGAAGCCATCGTACACCATGGTGTGGTTGAACAGAGGGTTGGCTGTTCTCTTTACGACCCGGGTCTTCTGCTGGCTTTTTCGACTTGTGTCAGGAAGTACAGTGCTGCAGTAAGATCAAAGCAATGAAAGTCCTAAAATTAGAGGAAACCAGTGGCACAGCAAGAAATAAGTGAGCAAAAAAAATTATATCCATATTAGCAATATCTACAAAACCCTTCTTATAATACTATTTTTTTTCCAAATAACTGAGATGAAGTACTAAATTTACTTAAGACAAGATTGCTCCCAGCTGAGGTATGAATTAACCTGAGACTAGTTTTGTATTACAATTAAGAAACTTATCCTGTTTGGGTTGCCTTGTTTGTTAGTTTTATTACAAACCAGAGCAATAATATGCTGAATAAAACAGAAATTATCACTAAATATATAATTTCTGTATGAACCCAAACCAGTTATGTCTGCAGTTTTCCCTTTTGTAGTTCCAAGTAGAGCTGTGCAATATGGCTAAAAATGGCCTGTACTGTATCAAAAATGTATCACAAAATAATATTTCATTTTAGTTGATACTGGTTGTAAGATTGGGTGGAGGTTTTCAGGACCCAAATGCAAAGATGAGGAGGCAGAGATGAGTTTTGCTGATTTAATTGATAGTCTGTAAACACACATGAGGAGCCAGGAAACAACAGAGCAACAAAACAAAAACAGGAAACCAGAACTAAAGCAGGTTTAACAAATTCAGATTCAAATTCGCAACTCTAAATTGATCTAGTATAAAGACGGGAACTCTGAGTGTGGGGCGACAGTGGCGTCGGATGTGCGAATTTGCCCTGAAATCGAAGGATTGACGGTTCAAAACTTTCAGTGTCGTTGTGTACTTGGGCAAGACACTTCACTTCACACACTCCTGCATAGTCTACTGATGGTGGTCAGAGGGCCCGGTGGCGCCAGTGTACGGCAGCCTCGCTTCTGTCAGTGAGCCCCAGGGAAGCTGTGGCTACAATGTAGCTTGCCACCATCAGTGTGTGAGTGAATGGGTGAATTACTGAATGTAGTGTAAAGCGCTTTGGTCATCTCTCCTGACTTGATAAACAGTGCTATATAAGTGCAAGGCCATTCACCATTTGGTTTCACAACAGCTGCTATCAATTAGTTCAATCAATTTTAATTAGGTCCACACAGAGTGGACGAGCGCAACAAGTATGAAAAGCCATTATCAGTGGAGTACCGATTTGACGAGTCACCATGACGACAACAACAGGCCATAGGAAGTGCCATTAGAACTAGAGATTTTAATGTAGAAATGCAAAAAATATAAAAAGGAGAATGTGTCTAAAAGACAGAAAAAAAAAGAACAAAGGAAAGGAAGGTGGTGAAATAGAACATTGTTGCTCGAGTTAATGCATAAGTTTAAATAAAACGGTCTATGGCAGGCCAATTAATAATATATTTTCTAAATTAGATTTTTGTCGAGGAAAATGAATTTTAGAAAGTAAAAAAAAAGATACTAGTAAGAATTAAGTTTTATATATCTAGAAATGTTTCATTATTTTAATCGTCCGTTTTCACATTTATCAGCTTGACCTAAAATGTATTTATATCTGAACAACATTTTTTCATAGTTAAAATAATACAAATATTGACCAGTAAGGAGAAGTATGGAATCATCATTTAGACAAAAAAAAAATCTTTTTTTTAGATATCAGGAATACATATGCAGTAAAACTAGTACATATCAAAAGCGCTTGCCAGGTGTTGTTACCGTGAAAATATTATGGGATAATTTCTTGAATGGTAGTAGATCAATGTATCTATTTATGTGAAATCTTCTGGCAGTAGGTGAGGATGAAGAATAAAAATGTTGTTCTAATGTATAGAACCTGTTCATCATCTCATGGGTTCCTCTTCATGTTGATTCAGTCTTCTTTTACACACTAAATACTAAGTGGCTGTTTGCAGTTTCGGATGTTATCATCCCAGATTATGCCAGCAGACTCAGTAGGTTGTTAGCATCGGTTGTTATCATCCTAACCCTAAAGTGATTCCTTTTCCCCCATGGAATTAATAAATCTATTTATGTGTAATCTGAAAATAACCTCAGTAGTTCTTCCTGCACAGTAAATATAACTAAATAAAAATAAAATGATCCGCAGCTTACTCATATTAAATTAACCAAAAACAATTAATCTCTGTCAACTGAGTTGTAGAATCCTCTCCCTATAAATATTAAATTCTCTTTGCAAATCATTCTTTAATTAGATCCTGATCAAATAGACATGCAAAGTTTTTTTTTTTTAACTAATGTATCTAAAGGGCCAAGTGAATGATTTTGTTTTTATGTACAACTACTGAAGAAAACTTGCTTCTAACCAGGTTAGCTCTGGGGAGAATGTTACTACGGTGACTGAAACAGAGATTGAAGAAACTCTCTTTGTAAACCGGAATAGTCAGAGTTTCCCTGTTATTTAGGTTTAGACAATTTAGAGTTTTCAGTAAACGTGCTTTATGAAACAGACCCCAGCACTCTGATGAAACTGATAAGCTCCACCTGTGTAGGCTACCCAGGTTCCCCACCAAGATCCTCTCAGGAAGAGATGCATTATTAGCTCTAACGCACACACAAGGGAATCCTGACTCTGGTAATAATTGATTTGGGCTTTTTTTCTACCCATTTTGGAAAAGGACCAAAGAAGAAAGGACATACTTGAAAATGTAACCCCATTTAAACATAACCTTCACCTCTAAAAGAGGGCAGCCTTAGCTCCAGCCTTACTTGGCTAGGCCGTGAGATGTTGAGAAGCAAAATCTTTCTCTCCCTCTACATGCCCCAGAAGACTTAGGCTACTTTCACAATGCAGGCCTTGATACTTAATTCAGATTTTATTGCGAAGTCCTATTTTTTTTTTTGCATTGCCGTTCATATTTCCAAATATATGCGACTTGTATGTGATCTCCTGTGTGAACTGCAGTCATACAATACAAGTGTCCCGCATGCACAGTAGAGGACGCAATGACGTTACAGGCCAGCGTGCTCTGTGTTTGCGGAAGTAAACATAGATGGTAGTGTCGCCGCACATCTAGTCATCTTTTCCAACCATAAGAACTCATTCTTTTCAATATGGTTAAACATAAATACTGCTCTCTGCATCATAATCTGCCATGGTTGTAGTTTCTCTTGCCGCTACTGTGTAGCAAGATGCAGAATAGTGACCTTTGTCGGGTATTAATGGCGTTCAGGTCAGATGAATGCGACCTGGTCGTACAGACACAGGTCGCATTAGAAAAGATCAGATTCGTATCGGAATCAGGACCACATAGCCAAGTGGCCTGGGTCGGATTGGAAAAAATCGGATCTGTATTGTTCAGACAGCCATGAAAAGATCAGATCCAGGTCGCATATGGGCCGAAAAATCGGATTTGGGTCACTTCAAAGTGCGGTGTGAACGTAGCCTTAGTGGTTCTGGATTGCTGGTAGATGAAATTACTGATCATTCTACCTTTTTATTGATTGTGATTAGGTGTTTATCACATTATGCATTTTTTTTCCCACCCTTAGCATCTAATGGTTTGTTCCAAATCCCAAAACCCTGAGCCCTACTAATCAGCTTCACAACAATCTAGAAAACCTCCATACCACTTCACGAAGGGGTTGATTATGACTCGTCTGACTTGAGGAAGATCCTTGCAGTCTTTCACCCAAATCAGAAGTTCCCCAGCCTCTGTGGTTGAAATCCCCTTACCTATGGAGGAAACCAGTTTACACTAAGCAAAATTAACAAAAAACAAGTAGAGGACAACAGCTGAACGTTTATAACAACATACTTTTAATTTTCTTTGGTATGAATCTCAAGGCTACTCTCATCTTTCCACCATTTTGTTGCAGACCAAAATGGGGCCCTCTGATTACTTCCGTGGAGACCTGAAGATTGTAATACAGCTCAGTGAGATGTGATGTCTGCTACGACTCACCTGTATGTGCACAGAAATAATTACCTTGGCTTTTAATTTATATTCATTTATCTCTGCGTTTTTAAAGTCCCATTCAGACAAATTCAAGTCCACATCACCAAGGAAGCTGTTCCGCCCAAAGAGGTCATTGTGCCACACTGAGACGATCAAAGTCTGCTTTTTCAGCTCCTCTAATGGGATTTTAAACTATTGAAAGAGAACAAAATCAATAGATCAGAGAAAAAGCTGAAGCAACAATTTAAATTGCAATGATAGGCAGTGTGTATGAGTTCTAAATGATATTCTTTAGGCTGGCATCTATTCATTGTTCCAAGAGTGAAGAGAAAACATCGCTCTCTAGAGCAGGACATGCTGTTGTTTTAGGTTTTCAAGAAGAGTAAATATCAGACATCACGCTTTGGTACTACAACTAGACCATAAATAAAAAAAACCCAAAACAGACTCACAATAACAAAGCTATTCAGTAGGACATGGCGTCTTGGCTTACAACTTTCAGACTACAGCTGCGTTCATAATGAAAGCATATTGAAGGGGTACATCAGAGCATTCTGGCATCCAAGCATTGGACGCTGGGGTTCAGTTATTTGGACTTTTGCCGCTGGAGGCTGGGGCGTCAACCAATTCAAGTTTTTTTAGGGAGAGATAGACGCTACATGCAAGCTGTTATCGCTTCTGCAGACATTCTGCATATGAAAATAAGGAAGTAAAACTCCAAAGGTCAAAAATAAAAAGCTGGTAGACTGGAATGTTATGTAGGACGAACAGAGAGGGAGTGCTGATCATTATTGCTGCACTAAAACATTTTTTTACGAACTGTGGAGAAACAGTTGATAAATACCCAAATTAACTAGAAATGGTAAAAGCTGCAGATGAAAAATATTCCATTTTATATTCTGGTTCTTGCAGTTTTTACCACAAACCTTAAAAACTAATTTTCTATTCACTTCCAGCCGCTACGAACGGCAGCGGGAAATCCCTCACAGGCTGGCCACTTTGAGCTTTCAGGTTGGATTTCCAGTGCTGCCTCCAGGCGGTATGCTGGAGGTCTGGAGCTCCCAACAAGAACTGCAGATTTTAGTGGGATCATAATCCTGATGAATTGATGAACAGCCGATGTTTGGAGCTGGACTTTCTCACTTAAAAACATGTCGAAACTATTTTTCCAATTCATAAAGTAAATAAAGCCAAGCTTCTCTCTAGCTTGAAGCTACAGAACAGAGCAGGAAAAAATACAGAATGTCGAGCAGCCAGAGAGTTAAAGTGTCAAAAGCAACTTGAGCACATTTTGATCCATCATCCAAATTTCTGCGTTTAAGCGTTTTTGACACCCAAAACTCAGCTTATGATCTGACCCTCAAAACTTTGTATCAACTTGTTCTTTGGTTAGTCAAAAAACATTACAATAGTTTTTTGGTGGTTCTGGATTGCATGAAATTGCCCACATCCATTCCTACCATTAACAGTGCTTGCTACCAAGCTGCAAAGGCTAAATAACTTTAATTATTGCTTCTTACATTTTAAGATTTATCGACATGATTCTATTTTCATACTATTTGTAGAGGCAACAATCAAAATACATGTGATAAAAGAATGAACAATAATTTATTCTGAAAAAGCACAAAATAAATGACCTATATGTTTAGGTAAGTGAATAAAATCTAAAAATGTATATCTACCTAACAACTACATGGATTTGCACAATACCAAGTTCGTAAGCATGTTCCAACCTTTCACCAAAGTCATCTTTACATTATAAAGAATAAATGGGGATGGCTATTAGTGTCCTGCAACTTTCAAGTATGTCTCTGTTCCCACACCTCAATGAAGTGACTGAATTACCTCCTCAGCATCCATTCAAGTTCCTGCAAATGACCTGATTATTAGCCGTGTTGGGGCAGAGATATGGCTAAAAGATCCAGGACACCAGACCTTGTGGACAACTGGATTGTGTTTGAACAAGAGACAGGGTGTCGAGAGAGGAGCTGTGGTATTGTATGAGAAAGTTTGGAAAGGCAGGGGAGTTGTTAGAGTGGTACAGGACATGTGTGAAAAATGTAGGATAGTGCTGAGGTGTGCTGGGGGTGTGACAGAGCAGTTTGGGATGGAATCGGGGCTGCCTCGGGCATTGGCTCTGAGCTCCAATGTCATGATCTGGCCTGTTTGCTCTCCCTTAATTGGTTATTTGTTTCACCTGTCGTTTTCCCTCCCTATCTCAATTATCATTTATTCCTCTCACCTGTTTCCTTTGGTTTATATTCTGTTCAGCCTGAGCATTCGGGGCCAGATCATTATTTGTTTCCCGTTACTCATTTCTGTTCAGTTCTGTTTATTTCAATGTCCTTCAATTTCAAGTCCTGGATCCTAGCAGCCAGTGGAAAGAGGGTTTTGTGTCTGTCTCGTCTCCTGATCGTCCACTGTTCCTCTCCTGCTGAGCCCTTTGAGCTGAATCGCACCCCCTTTAAGGGTGATGGACTGAACTGCTAAACCAGGTAAGTGACTCAATGAGCTCATCATCCTCAGTCAGATGATCGTGGTCACTTGCCCGTGTTTCTCCTACAACGTGTCTGTGATTGGGCGGGGCCCTGCCCCCCCTCCTGCAGCATCCGCTATAAGACCAGATTAGTAACTAAACTGAACTTTTCAAGCTTGATCATGACCTTCATGAATCTTTACAGGTATGTTACCAGAGTTAAATGAATTGTTCCTTGGCTTGAGGTGGAGCTCTGGTTAAAAAAAAAATGTATTAAAATCTGTTCCTAAGTTTACAATTAATCCTGCTAACAAACCAACAACGTTCCCTTTTCCTGTGTTGTTGTCTTCCCTAAAATACCTTCAAATTTTTTTCAGCCCAATGTCAATAGTCACTGCTGCCCCCTTCTGGTTTAGTAGGGAACTGCTTGTTCAGCGAAATATAACTATCTTACAATGTTATGAGAGTCTTTTTAAAAGATCCCTGTGGCCAGATTATGATCTTGAACATCACCAAACTTTTATAGATTGTTCCTTGGCATGAGGGACATCTCAGATGAAAATAACTTTTCATGTTATCCTGTACACAGACAGAGATACACACAAACTCTCATAAAAACATGACCTCCTTGGTGGAGCTAATAAAAATTAAGTGACATCCACCATTGAATTAAATCATTACATTCTACTGCAAGTAGACCAGGTGTTTAGGTGATATAAAGCATATGTAAAATGCACATTCAAAAAGATAGATGTAAATACATTTCTCACCTTGAGAACTTCATTGTATGTTGGGTTTAGTGTCCTTTTTTTGACAGTAGTTTTTTTCTTGCCCAGTCGTGTTTTATCAGGAGCAAGGTAGCATTTCACATAGCTGCAAAGATTTTTTTAGTATTACACAAAGATTTTTTTAGTATTACACACCCTAAAGATCTGAAGGAATATGTCATTTGATATTCAAGTGTTTTTTTGGAACACATTGAAAATAAAACTTTGCTCCGAAAACTTACGGGTCAGAAAGATTCTTCTTGGTTTCAGCAATGGCCAACCCTCTGCAGTTGACCACAAAGACCTGAAACTCTTCAAGCTTCTGGATGTAGTTTACAGCAAACTGAATGCTTCCTTGGACTTCAGTGTCTAAAGGGTAGATGCTGCTTCTGCTGCTGCTCATCTGATCAATTATGGGATTTCAGAAAAAAGAAATTAGCACATTTATGGTGGTGCACCAGCTCGTAAAAGACAAACATTTAAAGAAAACATTTTTCAGATTTTATTACAAGCATAATCAAATAGGCTGAGTGAATAACTTACGTTATATAACACCTACACACTACGTTTCAAAAGGAAAAACAAATCAGAAGTATATAGCATGGCTGAAACTGAAATTTAACCCTGTAATGCCAAATGTATCATATTTGATACATACGATTTCTGAAATGTTTTGCGTCTCACACCTTTTGCATAATTTAATGGTAAAAACAACAAAATCCTATTGTACACAATCAGATATA